AGCAGTACATTTCTAAAACTTTTATCAATGAGGAAAGTTATTCACTTTGCAAACATACTAAAAGTGGAAACCACTAGATTTATCAGTGTTGGCTTGCCTAATAACGGTATTGGGCGCCATCAAGGCTTATGATAAAATTGAGTCGTGAGAACATTGATATCCCCAGTGTTTCCAATCACATAGCTCAATTTAAGATCATGGATACCCTTCAAAATTTATTGATACTTAGCTTTTAGATGACGCTCATGAATAGCCGACTCAGAGTGTATATGTCTCGGTTGACAAATATTGTACTAGTCCTTGGTAGATGTGGATATACTTTTAAGTCCAAATTCTTGTTGTCTCGTGGGCTGTGGGCATGAAGTTGCTATAGCTGCAACTCCTTGCAACCCCTCAACCTGACTTGAAGTAGCCTCCCATCCTTTCCTCTTTTTCGGTGGAGGTGTGGAGAAAGCCTTGGCTTTGGTAGGAGCAATGGCTTTGCCCTTGCCTTTACCGTTGTCCTTATTAGGAGGCATATTCGTACCTACACAAGTAGACACTAATCAGTCTTAGAGGCATTGAATCAATTCAAATCATGGTCTTGGGAACCCACACTTAAGAGTTTATCACATGATGTGCAATAAGTTTTTTGAGGCTACTCAGACTTCACCTCTATATTTTAGCATGAGAATCAAGTAATAGCTCAATGATGTCTACTACAATTGCGATGCATATAGCTACTGGTGAGCCACCCCACACTTATAATTTCAAGTGTGCAAGACGACATAGCACTAGTATAACAATCTCGGAGACTCGGGCTCCAATGGGGACAAAGAATGCCTTTGAGGCATTTTGACAAACACTTAGTGTGCATTATTGCCATGGAAGTGCTTGTAGGAATGAGAGATTGCCTCACCCTCCCAAATCGACTTGGAAATTTTGTGCTACCACCTTCGTAATAAAAAATAATACCATTCCTACAGGGTTAGTACAAACAAGCACATTGTTACTATGAAGAACATATCCAAACGTTGTCTGAATTATTACTACACCCAATTCAAAATTGACAAAATAAAGAGTTAAAAATCATACCTTAGATGCTTGGGAGGGGGGTTGCTCTTCAATTGATGCTGCTAGTGAAGAGTGAGTAGAGGAATGTATGAATTTAATGGAGTTTGTGAGTAAGAGGGGCGAAGTAGGGCGGGCAATGCTATTTTGAACACTTTGAAGAGTCAAGGAAAAGGTTGACAGTGTGGTGTTAAGGAAAACAGGGGTAGGGAAGTAGGTTTATAACGGGATGGGGACTGGGCGGNCTTACCTGGTGTCGCGGGGTGGATCACGCTATAGCCTAGGCGATGCGAGGCAGTCAGCGAGCAAGAGACCAGGCTACTTGAGCTTTCCAGCGAGTAGGGGACCTGGCAATGCGAGAGAAGCAGCACGAACTAGCGCACTAGGAGCAGGGTGATGCGAGGTCTACTCCCAGGTCCACTGTGCTTTAGGCTGTGCAGCACGAGGTAGGCAGTGAGGTCTGGAGCATACTCATGTATTTTTTATTCTGTTTTTGAATGACTCCAAGCGCTATGACCTCCCAACGTGCTCTAGTACATGTTCAAACACCAAGTTAACTTAAAACTTGTTAGTGCCTAAAAACAAAAGGAAAATTCTAGTTAAGCTAAAATATACTACGAATTGGATTGCCTCCTAACGAGCGCCTCAGTTAGAGTCACTGCATGACGAATACAATATTACAATGGGTTTCCTCCCACGAAGCGCCTGATTTAACGTCGTGTCAAACTTAAGGTTCACTCGACATTTGAGGCTCATTCAAATAAATCACCGATACAACCCTTTCCTTATCCATGCCAAAGTAATGTTTCAACCTTTTCCCATTGACTCTAAACTTGCGAGAGCCATCTTCTAATGCAATTTCTACGGCTCATTCGGGATTCATCTCTACCATACCGAATGGTCCTGACCATCTTGACTTCAACTTGCCCGGAAATAACTTTAATCTCGAATTGTATAGAAATACCACATCTCTAGGTTTAAAATTTCGCTCATATTTTTCTCATGCATCATCTTCATTCTTTCCTTATATAGCCTCGTACTCTCAAAAACATGGTAACGGAACTCATCAAGTAGATGCAGCTCTATAACTCTACTCGTTCCAGCAGCCTCCAAGTCAAGATTTAATTGCCTAACGCCCAAAATGCTCTATGCTTTAACTCTACCAGTAAGTGACGCGCCTTTACAAATACCAATTTGTATGGTGACATACCAATCAGAGTTTTGAATGCAGTGCGGTAAGCCCATAGAAAATCATCCAATTTTCTCTCCCAATCAGTCCGAGTAGCATTTACAATTTTGGTCAAAACACTCTTGATTTCTCTATTTGACACCTTCGCTTGCCCACTTGTTTGTGTGTGATACGGAGTGGCAACCTTATGGAGAACGCCATAGTTTTACAACAACTTTGTGAAGGCTCGGTTGCAGAAGTGAGTTCCTCCATCACTGATGATCGCTCTTGGAGTACCAAATCGGGTGAAGATATTTTTTCTTAGAAAACAAATAACTCCCTTTGCATCATTTGCTGGAAGTGCCACGGCTTCTACCCATTTCGAGACATAGTCCACCACTACCAATATGTACTTGTTGCTATGTGAGCTGACAAATGGTCCCATAAAATCGATTCCACATTCATCAAATACTTTCACCTCTTGAATTGGGTTCATGGGTATCTCATGTCGACGGGAAATATTCCCGCCCATTGGCACTCATCACAGCTCTTTACCCAAAAGTGTGCATCATTAAACAATGTCGGCCAATAAAAGACTGACTCCAACACTTTAGCAGTTGTCCTTACTCCTCCAAAATGGCCTGCATAAGGCGAACCATGACATGCCTGCAAAATAAAAGCTGGGTCTATCTCGGGAATACATCTCCAGATCATGTTATCAATATAAATCCTAAACAAATATGGTTCATCCCAGAAATACATGCGACAATCACAAAAGAACTTTTTCTTCTCTACATAGGACAAATCATAGGGAACAATACTGCTCACCGGGTAGTTTTCAATATATACATACCGTGGCGCTACCTTAAGGCTCGTGGCTAATAGTTGTTCATCTAGGAAAGACTCCACGATCTCTTCCACATCGACCCTCTTTTCAGCTCCTTCAAGCCTGGACAAGTGATCGGCAACTAGGTTTTCCGTTCCCTTTCGATCACGGATTTCCAAGTCAAACTCTTGCAGCAATACCACCCATCGAATAAGGTGCGACTTTGAATCCTTCTTCTCAATTAGGTACCTGAGACAAGCATGGCCAGTAGAAACTATTACCTTTGAGCCTATCAGGTATGACCTAAATTTGTCAAATGCGTACACCAGTGCTAGCATATCTTTCTCTGTCACTATGTAATTCAGTTGGGCACCACTCAAGGTTCTACTTGCATAGTAGATTGGATGCATATATTTATCTTTTATGTTCCCTAGAACTACTCCCACAGCATAGTCACTTGCATCACACATCAGCTCAAAAGATTGTTTCTTGTCAGGTGCCACTATGATTGGTGCAGTCACCGGACTGTTCTTCAACTTCTCAAAAGCTACCCTACAGTCATTAGAAAACACAAAGGGGTGATCCTTTTCAAACAATTTAAACAAAGGGTTAGCAATTGTGGAAAAACATTATATAAACTGCATGTAGAAGCCAACGTGGCCATGGAAACTTCTTATGGCCTTGACGGAAGTGGGTGGAAAAAAATTCTCAATTATATCAACCTTAGCACGGTCCACCTCAATTACCTTACTTGACACTAGGTGTCCCAACACTATACCTTTATGTACCATATAATGGTACTTTTCCTAGTTCGGTACCAGATTAGTCTCCATAGATCTCTTCAATACGCTTTTCAAGTGCATAAGGCAATCGTCGAATGAGTTCCCCACCACAGAGAAGTCATCAGTGAAAACCACCATTATTTCATCTACCATATCTGTGAAGATGGCCATCATGCACCTTTGGAATTTGGCAGGTGTGTTGCATAGGCCAAACGACATTCTCCAAAAATCATAGACGCCATACGGACAAGTGAACGGCATTTTCTTTCTATCCTCCGGGGCAATAGAGATCTGGTTATACCCTGAGTATCCTTCCAGGAAGCAAAAGGTGGACCTCCCCACCAATCTATCTAGCATATGATCAATTAATGGCAACAGAAAGTGGTCTTTTTGGGTGGCCTTGTTAAATCTTCTGTAATCCATGCAGATTCTCCATCCCATGACTATTCTTGTTAAGATCAACTCATTGTTCTCATTTTGCACTACAGTTATTCCACCCTTCTTTGGCACACACTGAACTAGGCTGACCTAGTTTCTATCATAGATAGGGAAGAAGATTCATGCATCTAACCACTTGATCACTTCTTTCTTCACCACTTCTTTCATGTTGGGATTCGACCTTCTTTGATGTTCTCTGGAAGGTTTGTGCATCTTCTAGTAGAATCTTATGCATACAAAATGTTAGGCTGATACCTTTTATGTTTGCAATGGTCCACCCAATTGTAGTCTTGCATTCATTCAGAACCTACAAAGGTTGTTCTACTTGTACATCTAACATACCATATGAGATAATAATAGGTAAGGTTGAGCTAGGTCACAAGAAAGCATGCCTAAGGTGAGACAGTAACAACTTTAGCTCCAACTGTGGTGGTTTTTCAATTATTGGCTTAGCTGGAGGAGTATTTCTTTCTTCTAAGTGTAAAGACTCAAATTCGAGCTCTCGTTTCCAGTACCCTTGGTCTTCAAGACCCAAAACCAACTCCGCTAAATCCTCACTATCTACCTCTTCTAAGTTCATCAGACAGGCTGCTAAGGGGACTTTTGCATTCAGTGCCTCGTCTTCCTCCTCCAGAATCACATCCATAGCTTCGATCATAGAGCAATTAGCGAACTCACTGGGTCGCCACATAGACTTCTACACATTGAATGTTATTTCTTCATCATTCAGTCTCATCTATAGCTCCCTAATTTCACAATCAATCAAAGCTCTCCTTGTGGCCAAGAATGGCCTTCCCAAAATTATGGAAATCTCTTCATCGACCTGGAAGTCTAGATTAACAAAATCTAATGGAAACACAAAATTTCCAACCTGCACAAGTACATCATTTCGGTCGACTAGATGTAGTAACATGGATGTTGGTCTTGCCCTTCCAATGCCTAAGCTTTTATAGATAGACAATGGCATCAAGTTTATGCTTGCCCCCAAATCACACAATGCTTTGGCAAAAGCATAGCTGCCTATGGTGCACAGAGTTGTGAAACTCCCTAGGTCAGATAACTTTATAGATATAGGTCTTGTCATGACAATAATGCAGGTCTGAGTCAGTGTCACAGTTTCCAAGTCTTGAAATTCGAACTTCCAAGACATCAAATCCTTCATCATTTTTGCATAATCGGGCATCTCTCTCAAGGCATTAATCAATGGAATGTTTAACCGAATCTACTTCAACATCTCCATGAATTCTTATACTGCTAATCCTTCTGATATTTGGCCAACCTCTGCGGGAAGGGTCCTGGAAGTCGCTCCCTTCCTGTGACTTGAGTTAGATCCTACTCAGGAACTTTTTATAATGCCTTCTTTTGCACTTTCTCAGTCTCCTTTGCAACCTATTTCTCTTTTCTTAGTTCCTCCTGAGCTTGATGCACTCTTACTTCTGTTAGCTCAGTTGACTCTTCTACCTCAATTGGTACTGGGACGATTATCTCAGTTGGTCAGCTTTCAGGAGCAGTTTCTTGCTCTATATCAAGATCCCTACCATTTCTCACACTCACCGCCATAATCTTCTTCGGACCATGCTCTTTCGGATTTACATGTGTGTCCACAGGTAACATCCCTTGAGGACGATTATTTAGAGACATAAATATATGCCCCAATTGAATCTCAATGCCTTTTATCGCTGAGTCATGTGCTTCAACCTTATCTTGTATTTTCCATTGGACCCAATCAGCTGTTGCAGCATTCCTTTAATTTCAGACAACCAATCATCTTGTCTCACTATTTGTTGTTGTTGAGGCTATTGATAAGCTAGCTGCTGATTTTGCTGATTATGTCCATGTTGCCTTTGATAAGGCATGACTTGACTCTGAGGTCGCATAACTCCAGTATTGTTGTTATTATTATACTATTGTTATGTTGGTCTATACTGTTGATTCTACTGCCCCCAATTCTGACCACCTTGCCTTTGGCCTCCATAGTTTCCCACATAGTTTATATTCTCTTGATAATTTTGAATGTCACTTTCATATTAACCACTCCACGAGCACACACATGGTTGGTTAATGAATTGTGTGCATAAGCCTCCATTGGTCATGTTAACTATGTGCTCCTGCTTTTGGCCTGACTCATTAATCCTTTTTGTTAGGATACTCAATTGCGTCATCATAGTAGTCATAGTCTAGAGCTACTGAGTGAACTAAATGAGTGATTATAGAGTATCTTGTCATCCATCCTGAGTATTGTTCCATTTTATCAAGTAAGAACTTACATTCTCTGAATGATTTGCTCAAAAATGCTCCACTTGCTGAAGCATCAACATTGGCCTTCAAGCTGTTTGCCAATCCCATGTAGAACCTTTGCCCCAACATCTGATTAGAAATGCCATGGTGTTGACACTTGAGCAGCATCCCCTTGAACCTCTCCCACGTTTCTTGCAGTGTTTCAGCTGGTTTCTGCCTAAACCTTAATATCTCGTCAACTTGCTTGGAAGTCTTATTGGGTGGATAGAATTTATTCAAAAACTACTTGACTAATTCCTCCCAAGTAGTGATGGAGTTTATGAAAAAAACAACAGTCTTATTGCTTCCAATGTCACATTCGATTGCCTTTGCGTGACACAAATCGACAGGAAAGTTTTCAGATGCAGTTGTGGATCTTCAATGTAAGACCCCGAGAACAGTCCCTTGTTATGCAACAAATGCAGCATGCTATTTGTAATTTAAAATGATTTGGGTTGTATCGAAGGTACTGCATATGCGATTGTCAGGTTTCAGCGGTGGGTTGTGCCCAATCATATAAGGCTGTTTCTGGCACAAGAGGTGCCACACCTTGATTTCTCGACTCATTCACATTGTTTTGGTTGTCTATTACATCACCCATGTCTAGTTTGATTCGCTCTGATGAGTTCTATTGTCCTTTGTCTTTCCTATTTGCTCGATTTAGTGCCCTGAAAGCTTTCTCTGGGTCCAGTAATGCTTCGTACAATTCACCAGTTCTTGAGGAGTTTTTAGGCATGCACCTGTAACACATAAGACTACAAACATTAGAGTTTAAATAATGAATTTCAAGATAAGAAAGCTGACTACACTAAGAATTCTAACAATTCTTTTAGCCGTAATTAATTACATCGTTAATTCCCCTGCAAAGGCGCCAACATTTGGTCCTACCCAACTATGCCTCCTAAGAGTTCTAGAGGTCATTGCAAATATAATTCGGTTTACAAGTCAGGAGTCGAATCCACAGGGAATTAACCTACTAATTACAACCACTAGTTTCGCACGAATTAAAGTAATCAACCTTTAGAAATATTAAATAATGATTTGAATATTTACTAACTAAGATCAAAGTAATTAAAATGCAATAATTTATAACTAACATAGCAAACGCCGTGGACATGATTTGGAAAAGTCTAGGGTTATGATTTTCCCTATTGTCGGCATCCTCTCCGTTACGCTTCCTATAAATTCGCCTAAGTATTCTCTACCGATCGTGACTATTTTGGGTGTCATATTTCTCTTCAAGTAACTACCACAATTTACTAGATGTTTTCTTCTGAACTACACTAGCTGGCACTAATTTACCGTTCATTAAGAGTGCACCAAGGTTTCATTATTCCTAATCCCACTTTTAAACCCTCCGTATTGATTCCTCACATACGTTAGGAGTGATGTTATTCAACAACTGCCAAAATATGTACCCCTTTTTCAAGAAATATACACTAACTAGGTACAGTCAATTGAGAGCTATTCAATCAACCACAATGTAAACGTAGTTGAACAAGTAGAGAAACATCAAAGGCAAATCTATATTAAACGTAGTAGAAAATTATCCTCCAATAGGTTCCATCAAACCCTGGATTAGAAAGTTTAGCTACTCATAAATGTATCGACAATCATCATGATGTTCAAAGACATTAAACTATAAAGTAAGGAGATAAACGGAGGAAACACTCGTTTGATTCTCGCTCCACGGTGCTCCGTAGCCTTTTTCTTCTCCAAAATAGTGTCCAACACTTTCTCAACTCGTTAAGGGAGTATTTTTATTTTAGGGCCGGAATCCCTTAGTCTAAATTCGGGTTAGAATCTTTTAACCCGCGACTTTTAGTTACTGGGTTATAAACCTCGCGAGGCAAGGCTTATAGCGCGGTCAGCCTGGCTACAGAGCTGGCTTGTAGCGCGGTCAAGCTAGCTATAGAGCTGGTTTTACTTGGTCTGTAGCATGGTAAAGCAGGCTATAGAGCTGGCTTTATTTGGTATGTAGCACGATTTGGGTACTTGATGCTTTTGTGCTCTTTTCTTGCATTTTTGTCCTCTTTTTGTGCAACTTTCATGTGACTCTTTCTTCTGGTGCTCCTACACATAAAACAACACAATTTAGCTCAAATGTCGTACAATTAATCACTAAACCAACAAAATATAGGGCGAGTAATGTATTAAAAGTATAGCATTTTGGCCGAATATAAATAATAAAGTAATAATTTCTTAATTTGTTTTTTATTTAATCATTTTTAAAATCAAATTCATTGTTTTCACTCGCTTTATACGCGTATATTTCACACATTTCGTCCAACTCAGCAGATTTAATGCCACATAAGCTTGGTCAATGGTAAGAAGCGTTTAAAATATTAGTTTTGGTCGAGTTGAGGTGTTTGGATGAAACTTTGTGGAGTACAGGGGTCGGGATGTCAAACCGGAATAAGTACGGGTGTCTCCTAGGCTATTCTGCCTATTAGTTAGCGTAATTCTTAGATTTAGTCACTCCGAAAGCTAATTTAAGGTATATTTAGTCTCATTCTTAGATATCTACCATAACATCTATTTTAATTTCTTGTGGTTAGACGTGGATTCTTAGTTGGATTATTATTGCAACGACCGTTTTATTTTTCCTTTAGAGGTGCATGGGTGATTTATTTAAAAATAAATTTGCGCAAGAGTAATAATTCAAAACATAATTAAACACCATACTTCGAAATGAAAAACTTGACCAGTAAGCTATTGCACCATGGACAACTGCCCTCTTCCTCTAGTGTGGGGCTACAATATTTTATTTATTTCTAAATAAAAGCAACAATTCGTGCGAAAAGTAAAATGTTAATTTCTACATAAAGAACTTGAAGACGATAAAAAAGAAGACAATGATAAAAGGAATCACGGAATAGAAATTTTCGGACCCTGATACCGGAGGATCACCTGCCGAACGTGTCGGTGTCACCTCATCATTTGAATATGAATTATAATTGCTAAATGATGGAGGCGGGATTGGTGGATCCTGACGAATTTGGTTTGGTGATCGGTCATTATAATTATTTCTTCGTTTATTACTTCGATTTGATGCAACGCGGTCTGTAGATGGTTTATTGCTCCTAGGCAAACGTGAAGGATCGTTGAATATCTTTCCTTCATTTTGGATAAATACAGATGGACAGTTCTCCCTCCTGTTTTGATGTCGCAAATTGCCTACCCCAGCCATAATTGATTGGGGAAGCTGTGTTGTTGAATTATTCGAATCCATCTTTCAGATCTCTGCGATTATTTTCTTTTCCGGTTTTCCAATCCCTGATAAAACAAATACAGCTTCTAAATGAAAATTATAAATCATCAAAATAAAGTGCTGATATTACGTAAAAAGTTTATTATCAAAATTGCAACACATTTGTGCTCTAAAGTCTTGGAGCTCAAGAAGTTTATATGATTGCCATTTTGGCTGAAATCTTAAAAAACACAATCATAACTGAAAATACCTAAAGGGAAATATTTGTAGAGAGAACAAAAGTAGTAGCAGTAAGTACAGTGTTTACAAACACAAAATCTTTTGCTTTTTCACTACAAGCTTCTTTTTAATAAGAACGAACCTTTTAGGAAAAATAAATCTAGCTTGCTTTTACAGCCAAAAACTAGCAGAAAAATTTGAGGACCGAAAGAAGAAAATAGGAAAAACCAAACCCAAACTAATTACCTTCTTAGTATGAGTAGTCAACAAAATTACACACAGAAAGGACTTGAGGCTTGGCATTTATAGTGTCAGATCTGGCTTTACGAAACAACGAAAGACTTGACCGAAAACAAAAGGGAAAAAAAGGACGAGATACGGAATAAGGAGTGCGAAAAATTTCCGGCATCCTTGTTTGAAGTCCGAGTTATTCCCTTAAAAAAAAAAACAAAATGGTC